ATGTTCCACCGACTGAGCCAACCAGGTGCCCCAGAACTAGAAAGAATCTTAATAACCATCCAGTGTATCTCTTTCATTTTACAGATGTGGCTCAAAGACTTGAAGTGATTTGCCCAACCCTGAACTATTAGTCTCATGCTCTAGTCAGGACTAGACTCTACGACCCATTTTTTTTTTCCCAGTGGCCAACAGACACATGAAAAAGTGCTCAACATCCCTCGGCATCAGGGAAATCCAAATCAAAACCTCAATGAGATATCACCTCACACCAGTCAGAATGGCTAAAATTAACAAGTTCGGAAACGACAGATGTTGGTGAGGATGCAGAGAAAGGGGAACCCTCCTACACTGTTGGTGGGAATGCAAGCTGGTGCGGCCACTCTGGAAAACAGTATGGAGGTTCCTCAAAAAGTTGAAAATAGAGCTACCCTACAACCCAGCAATTACACTACTGGGTATTTACCCCAAAGATACAAATGTAGGGATCTGAAGGGGTAAGTGCACCCCGATGTTTATAGTGGCAACACGTTTTTAAAAGTCTCCTGTGTAGCTGATATGACAAATTCTTAATCTCAGGAAACAAACTGAGGGTTGCTGGAGTGGTGGGGGCTGGGAGAGATGGGGTGGCTGGGTGATAGACATTGGGAAGGGTATGTGCTATGGTGAGCGCTGTGAATTGTGTAAGACTGATGAATCACAGACCTGTACCTCTGAAACAAATAATACATTATATGTTAAAAAAAAAAAAAAAAAGAAGATAGCAGGAGGGGAAGAATGAAGGGGGGAAATCAGAGGGGGAGACAAACCATGAGAGACTTTGGACTCTGAAAAACAAACTGAGGGTTCTAGAGGGGAGGGGCATGGGGGGATGGGTTAGCCGGTGATGGGTATTAAGGAGGACACATTCTGCGTGGAGCACTGGGTGTTATACACAAACAATGAACAAACCACCTTCACTTGGAACATCAACCACACCTGGCTGATGGTGGTGGAGGAACGATGTGTTTACTGTGTGAACTCTGATAACAGCGGCTGGACCGAAATCTGCTGGGAAGCCTGGGTCTCCTCTAGCTTATTTGGTGTCTCCAGAGCTGTCCAGGAATTTGATCTTGCCCGGTTCAAAAGCAACATGACCAAGACGATGAAGGGCTTTGAGTACATCTTGGCCAAGCTGCAAGGGGAGGCCCCTTCCAAAACCCTCGTTGAGACAGCCAAGGAAGCCAAGGAGAAGGCCAAGGAGACAGCACTGGCAGCTACAGAGAGGGCCAAGGACCTGGCCAGCAAGGCGGCCAGCAAGCAGCAGCAACAGCGGCAGCACTTCGTGTAGCCAGCCCGGGCCCCGGGGCCGTGGGACACCTGACGGCCCGGCTCCAGTCCCTCTGCCCTTCCCCCTCGTACTTTACTAGTAAAACTCAACTTCCAGCCCTTTCTGCTCTGGGGGAGAGGGGGGGCGTTGGGGCTGGGTGTCCTGTTCGGGGTGGAGCCGAGGACGGGCCCAGGGAGGGGCGGTGGCTTGCTCGGGGGCACAGCGTGCAGGGGTAGGAAGCCTAGACTGTAAGCTCTGCAAGGGCAGGGGCCTTTGTTGCGTTCTCTGATGTGTCCCAGGTACCTGGAACAGCATCTAGCACATAACAGGCACTCAATAAGTGTCTTGGAGGCACTATTGATGGAACGTACATCAAAACCAATGATGTAATGTATGGTGATTAACATAATAAAAATTTTAAAAAATTTAAAAAAAGGCAATTTTACCAAAGAATATATTTTAGAATTACAAAATTAAAAAAAAAAGTCTCCTGTGTAGGGACGCCTGGGTGGCTCAGTCGGTTAAGCTTCTGCCTTCGGCTCAGGTCATGATCCCAGGGTCCTGGGATTGAGCCCCACATCGGGCTCCTTGCTTGGCAGAGAGCCTGCCTTTACCCCTGCTTGTGCTCTCTCTCTCTGACAAAAAAATAAAATCTTAAAAAAAAAAGTCTCCTGTGTATAGCTAATAAATCATCCTTATTCAGATGCTGGTATTCCTTTTTAATATTTTGACTTCTTTTTTTTTTTTTTTTTTTTAAAGATTTTATTTATTTATTTGAGACAGAGAGAATGAGAGAGAGAGAGCACATGAGAGGGGGGAGGGTCAGAGAGAGAAGCAAGCTCCCTGCCGAGCAGGGAGCCCGATGCGGGACTCGATCCAGGGACTCCAGGATCATGACCTGAGCCGAAAGCAGTCGCTTAACCAACTGAGCCACCCAGGCGCCCAATATTTTGACTTCTTGAGTTACTTAAAACAGAAGAGTATATTAAAATCTACCAGTGAATACTACTGTTTCTGGTCATTTCTACTTGGATTCCTCCCATCCCCACCCTACCTCTTGGATGTAAAATGCCCAGATTTGGATTATCATAATCCTTGGTTTATGATATAGTCTCATCATTGGTCCTGTGTTAATTATTAATGTATAATAATAATCATTTATGAAGCCACTATCCCAAACAAAACCTGAGACCTTGGCAATCATGTACATCTAACTGTATGGTCTCTCCTCCCATTTTGTCTCACTCCCTGTAAAGTAAGCATCTGAAACTCATGCTCATTATTACCTTGCTTTCCTTTTGATGTAGTTTTATTGCAGCTCTCCCTCTCTGTATATTTCTTTTTGCCTATTTCACCCCTCCCCTCTGGCAGCCACCACTTTGTTCTCTATATTTATGAGTCTGTTTCTGTTTGTTCATTCGTTTTATTTTGTTTTTTAGATTCTACATATAAGGGAAATTATGTGGCATTTGTCATTCTTGGTCTGACTTACTTTACTTAGCATAATACCTCTAGGTCCATCCAGGTTTTTGCAAATGACAAGATTTCATTCTTTGTTTATGGCTGTGTAATATTCCATTGTGTATGTATATACACCACATCTTTATCCATTCATCTATCGATGGACACTAGGTTGCTTCCATATCTTGACTATTGTAAATAATGCTGCAATGAACATAGATGGGGTGCAAATATCTTTTGAATTAATATTTTCATTTTCTTCGGGTAAATACCCAGAAGTGGAATTATTGAATCATTTTATCTGTTTATTTTAATTTAAAAAGGTTTTGTGTTGTATGTAATCATTTGGAGTTTATTCTTTTCACATCTTGTTTCACTTGTGGTGGTCTCTTGATCTGAGGAATTTTTTTCAAGGGCCCCGTGATTTTCTTTTTCTTCATCTTCATTGAGGGGATTTATGCTTGCCCAGTATTGTCTTACAATCAAATGACTGATCTGGGATCCATCTGAAACTTTTTTTTGGTAAGATTTTTAAAAACTGAGGTATAGTTGACATATAACATTAATTTCAGGTGTACAACATAATGATTTGATATTTGTACTTATATGAAATTTTACAGCAATTCCTGGTCAGGATCAAAGGCGGAACGACACAAGTTATAGACTGCTGTTTCGGAGACCGAACAGGCTGTGTGGAACGGGCAGGGCACTGACGTGGCTCTTTCCTAACTGGACCCTCGTTTTGTGAGTAGGTGTGATCCCAATGAAACCTTCTGTCCACCAGCACTGGCTGTGCAGCTCCCACCAGGAGCACGCCGGGGTTTGGTTGCCAGATGACCGTCCCCTGGAATTGGGGGCACAGAGGCAGTGAGCAGTCCTGTGGGCCCCTCAGCTAGTTCTTTCACTTCCTTCCCAGGTTAGAACACCTTTCCGATCTTTAGGGACTTAGAAATATTGTTTACACAGATGGAAACAGTAGTAACAGGCTATTCACCAAAAGGAGTGGACTGTTTCTTCACAAACACAAATGTAAGACTCACTGTAACCTCTTTCCTAATTTGTAGTAATTCACACACTGATTCCAACTGCCATTGTTGGTCCTGCAGAATTTGTACGAGCCTCTCCCTTCTAAGCTGCACCCCACCTTCACATGCTGACCTTTCAGTCTCTCAGCTTCACTGCTTTCACCTGAACCCCCAACCTCTTACTGTCCTCAGCTCTTTTCCTTTCTCCCATTCCCAGCAAATTCCAACCAAACACTAGGAATTGCTATTTAGTTAGCACTTAACATCAGCTAGACACTGGGGTGAGTGGCTCTTTATGAATCATCTTGTGCTACTGTTTTGTCCTACTCAATGGAGTAGTAACATTAGTGTCTTCATTTTATGGCTAAGAGACTGAGGCTCAATGAGATGAATTTGGCCAACGTCTGTATCTCCAGGGAAGCTAGGAGGTGAACTAGTTTTTGTTGTTGTTGTTTGTTTTTATTTTTATGTTACAATGCCTTGGGCTCCAAGTAAAAGAAAACTTAAATTGGCTTTAACAATAATGAAATTATTTCATATAAAAAGGTTGGTTAGCTCAGTAATTCATCAAGGACCCAGGCCTTTCTACTCTCCTATCCATCCTTGCTGTATTCAGGCTCTGTCCCCAGGTTAGCCTAGCTTCCCACAAGGTTTCATGATGCCTACCAGAGTTCTGTCATCATGTCCATAGAACTTCTAAAGACAGGAAAGGACATCTTTCCTCCTTGTCCATCTCTCTCTCTCTCATTTGTCATGCATTTTAAAAGAAGATTTATTTGAGGGGGGTGAGGGGCAGGAGAGGGAGAGAGAATCTTAAGCAGGTTCCACTTCTAGCCAGATGCAGGACTTGATCTCGACCCTGAGATCATGACCTGAGCTGAAATCAAGAGTTGGACGCTTAACCGACTGAGCCACACAGGCATCCCTGTCATGCATCTTTTTTTTTTGTCATGCATCTTTTTATTTTTTTAAGATTTTATTTATTTATTTGACAGAGAGAGAGAGAGAGACAGCGAGAGAGGAAACACAAGCAGGGGGAGTGGGAGAGGGAGAAGCAGGCTCCCCCGCAGAGCAGGGAGCCCGATGCAGGGCTTGATCCCAGGACCCTGGGATCATGATCTGAGCCAAAGGCAGACCCTTAACCGACTGAGCCACCCAGGCACCCCTGTCATGCATCTTTTTAAAGAGCATTTTAGGGGCGCCTGGGTGGCTCAGTCGTTAAGCGTCTGCCTTCGGCTCAGGTCATGATCCCAGTGTCCTGGGATCGAGCCCCGCATCGGGCTCCCTGCTCTGCGGGAAGCCTGCTTCTCCCTCTCCCCTCCCCCTGCTTGTGTTCCCTCTCTCACTCTGTCTCTCTCTGTCAAATAAATAAATAAAATCTTTAAAAAAAAAAAAAAGAGCATTTTAAGTTGCTTACTTTTCTTAGGACCGTCTCTTATCCTGGCTGACTTCCCTTTTATTGTCCAGAATGCCATAAGCCCGTGCCTCACTAATCACTGACAAGGGGGAATAGGACCACTACAATGGGCTTAGACTAACCAAGACTCATTCCCAGGGCTGGCTCCAAGCTTCCCTGAAGCTCTTGGCTGCTCCACAGAACAAAATTAAGGTTCTGTTAGGAAGAAGGGAGATGGGGGTAGGGGAATGGGTATTCAGTGTGCAACCAATAGTGTTTGTTACAGAATCCAAAAGTCTAGGTTGTTAACCTTGCCACACTGCTGCTTTTCTGGCTTCTCCCCTCAGTTCCCATCCCCATCTAGCATATTTCCTTAACAGTGAGCCAAGTCTACAACCCTAGCTCTAAATGCTACATGCCAAGGCCATCCTTGGCAGAACAGTGAGAAACGTGAAATGTATTCCTTGGGGCCCAGCGCTCCTGTGCAATCCACAAGTTAGGGACGCGTGCTTGGTTAGCCTGGGCATGTCACACTCGGGTGGGGAGAAGAGCAGAGGTTCTGCCTCCTGGAAAGGTGGACTGGCCTGACCCTGACCCAGCCCCAGAGCTGAGTTCCAGTCATGCTCCCCCCTCTCTGAGAGCTCTTCTTTCTGGTCCATACTTCTCTGCTCTTAGAATCTGAATTCTTTTTTCTTTTTTTTTCCCTTCCTTCCTTCCTCCCTCCCTTCCTTCCTCTTTTTTCTTTCTCTCTCTCCTCTTTCTTTTTTTCTTTCTTTTATAAATAAGCTCTGCAGCCAGTGTGGTGCTTGAACTCACAACCCTTAGATCAAGAGTTGCATGCTCTACCAATTGAGCCAGCTAGGCACGCTCTGAATTTCTTAACAAATTCTAATTTGTCCCCTAGTCTTAAAACCCAACATTACCATCATATTTCCTTTCCTTGAACTCCCACAGTAGAAAAACCCATATCCACTGAATTTACTAACCAGTCGCAGGTCTCCTATGTGAGTTAGAAGCTTAGAGAAAATATTAGACAATAGGGAAGAAAATTTTTAGTAGCTGAGTGCCAGGTGCTGGGGTAAATCCTTTCCCACACTGACTTTATCTTAACAGCACCCTGGTAGATTAGGTTATTTTAACTTTCACATTTGGGTTTAGGGAATTCATGTTCAGCAGAAGTTAAGTCACCTGCTCAGACAAGGTTAAGGATGGCTCGTGGCCACAAGCTAGTAGGAGCCCATGATAGTGTGACCTCAGGCCCATGATCTTTCCCCTCCACCCCCTCTTTCTGACTTCATGGTCTTTGCTGGTACAAAACACATTTGTATATATTAATTCGAGCCTCACAACAGTAGCAGGGTGAGTCCTGGTATCTACATTTTGTAAAAGGTTCAGAGATACTAAATGACTTGCCCGAAGTCATATGGAGCTTAGCTTTTCTGACTACAGAATATGCCTAGCAGAGCACGGCATTATTTGTTGAATGATAATCCAGATGATGGTGGATATTCAATAAATAATTCTTGTCAAAGTAAAATGATTGAAAAGAAACTTAATGTCACTGCTTAGAGGTCTCTAGGCTCCTTTTTCTCTCTGTCACCTCCCTTCTGGGATCCCCTTAGAGACCCTCTTTTCCCAGGCATTCCATCACTTTCAGTCAACACTCACAAAGAGTAGCACCTACATGTCTTCAGGCAGGGGGTTTAAGAAGGAAGGGTGGTCCTCTTTAAGACAGAGCTGAATGGACCTCACAGTTTTTGTTCTCTCACCTCCCACCTTAGGGCTTCCTTTGCTCCCTGGAACAGGGAGCCCACACTCAGACTTTTTCCCTACCTCCACGAGGTGGACTGCATTTGTTCTGGAGTAGACCAACCAGTGAGCTCCTGGCCTTGGCCCTGGCAGTTACCTCCCTAGTACCTCCTCCCTTCTCTCCTCCCTTGGCCCTGCCTCCTGCCTCTGGCCCCACCCCACCACCCTGGACACAGTACAAAGCCTAAAGCTTCGGCTCCAAGGGAAACAAAAGGAACTGCTTGGATTCCCATGACTATGGCCAGCACCTTCATACCAGGGCTGAACCCTCAGAACCCTCATTATATCCCAGGGTAAGACTTCTACCCAGGGCACACCCCTGCTTGCTTCTGGGAATAGGGCTATAAGGACATGGGAGTTGTGCCACGCAGGACTTGGGGGCCAATAGACAAACTGGTATGGTAGGCCCAAGGCTGAGATATTCATGGTGTTGGATGGAAAAGGAAGAACAAGGGGATAGTGGTAGCTGGGCCTGTCACAAAGCTTTGTGTTGTCTTCTCCATGGTAACAGGGTAATAGCAGAGGGGAAGGGTTGAAAACCCAGAGAGAACTGAGAAATGCCTGCTCCAAAGATATACGCAGCCGAATCCAGAAAAAAACTCAGGGCTTCAGAGGTCTCTGTTTCTATCTCTGCGGGTGGTGGGGGAGTCTAGAGGTGAGCGGGTGAGTCCTATGCTTACAGGTACACTGGACACTGCCCACTACTTCGCTTCAGCATGGGCCAGACCTATGGGCAGATGACCGGTCAGCTGCTTCGAGGGTTTCCTGGCCTAGCCTGGCCCCCCACCCATCGCACACTTCTGCCTCCCATCAGGCCTCCGGCATCTCCTGAGGTTCCCAGGGGAAGCCTGCCTGTCAGGCGGAGGCATGAAAGGCTCAGCTCCAGCATGATTCCTGGGTACACAGGTACGTACGGACAGTCTGAACAGGTGTCCCCAACCCAGACCATGTGCCCCAAACACTAACTGAGATCTTTCTTGCCCCCTCCCACCCAGGTTTTGTACCCCAGGCACAGTTCATCTTTGCCAAGAACTGCAGCCGGGTCTGGGCTGAGGCTCTGAATGATTTCACTCAGTGGTCTGTGGGACAAGGGGGTCAAGAGCTGCCAAAGGAGGCCAAGGGTAAAAAAGATGAGAAAGACGAAGAGCCAAAGCCAGAGCCAGAGCTGGAGGCAAAGGAGCCAGAGCTGGGGCAAGAGGCAGAGCAAGTGAGACCAAGAAGGCGGGAGGGGGCCCGGGGGGCTTGCGAGCGGGGAGCCCGACCTCTGTGTGGCCGGGCCTAGGCGGGGCAGCCAGGAGTAGCATGGCTATGGGTGCAGGGGATGGGGGCTTGACCGCTGGCTCCACCCCGCGGGAGCTTCTGTTGGAGCCCAGGGGCTGAGCGGGACAGCCTTACTTCTTCTCTGCCACCTTCTCCTCACAAGGCTTCCCCCTATTCCATGGATGACAGAGATCCTCGCAAGTTCTTCATGCCAGGTGAGAGGAAGTGGCTAATGACCAAAGGCATGGGGAGGCTCCCAGGAGGTCCTGACTCAGTATCCCCCCCAGGCTTCACTGGTTACGTGCCCCGTGCCCGCTTCCTCTTCGGCTCCAGCTTTCCTGTGCTCACCAACCGGGCACTGCAGGAATTTGGACAGATGTACTCAGGGAGCAGACCCCAGAAGGATCCCAAACATCTCCCTCCACTTTCTAGGACCTATCCTCAGAACCTGTGCCTTTTACCTAATTATGGGGGCTATGTGCCAGGTGAGGATAGCCCCAGAGGGGACTGGAATATTTGTGTGTGTGTGTATGTGGAATGGGTGCAAGTGGCTTGGGGGGGGGGGCTTGGATCATGTGGTTTGGCTTTCTCACTGGGCAGAAAAGGATATGGAGGTAGCTCACAGTGGGAAGTTGGGACCAGATTTTGGAGGGCTTAGGCACTGGCTGAGAAATAAATGGCTCTCCTTGCCACTGGCTACAAGTGACAGATTCTGTTGTCCATACAGGATATAAGTTCCAGTTCGGGCACACCTATGGGCATCTCACCCATGATGCACTGGGCCTCACCACCCTCCAGAAGCAGCTCCTGGTATAGATAGGTACCTGGACTTCAAGTTCTCTCTTCTCTGTCTTCCTATCTCAGCCTTTTGGAAGGAAGAGAGGTGGGCCCGAGGGGGGTGGGGGGGGGAGGCACAAAGAGAAATGGTTTGGAGGCCGAGCACCTTTTTTATTAATAGGTGTAATAAATAAATAAATAAATACATAAACAAGCCTGGGCTCCTCATCCCTCTTCTGACCACCAGGCACTGGCCACAGCCTATTTACATTTGGGGGCTTAGGGAGCTGGCCCCAATACTGTCACCTCTCCTCCTCACCACCTGGCCTAGGGAACCCTGCAAATGGGCCTCTGATCACCTCCCTCCATAGGGATGTGCTTATCTGTACCTATGGAAGGGCTGGCCCACGTGGGCCGGGGAAATCCTGGCAGCCCAGTGCTGCATCCCTTCCCTCCTTTCCTGGGTGGAGGTCTGGATGAGGTCACTGGGACAGTTAATGGGGAGTAATTAATACTGAGCACAGGGATGTATGGCCCCCAGCTCTCAGTCTATTCTCTGTGGCCAAGCCAGAGGGCTTGGGAAGGGCTCTCAGGCTCTGACACAGGGGTTATGAGGGTCCCTGAGGCCACCAGCATGCACAGGGCCTCAGTTTTGGCTGCTTCCGGGGGTTGGACTTGGAGATGGGGTCAAGGTCACATAGGCCAGAGGCACCAGGCCGGTGTCGGGGCCACGGCTGCAGCGCAGCCAGTCTCCTCCAGCTGGCCCCAGCACCCGTAGGATATCGCCCTTGCGGAAGCTCAGCTGTCCGGGGCCTGTGGCCAGATGATGACACAGTGCCTTCACCTCGCTGGGGAAACAACAAATGGAGGTCAGAGAAACCCCACCCAAAGCCAAACCCAGCCCCCCAGTGCTATCTTCCAGGGCTTACCCTGGAGGCTTGGAGGGCAAGACTGGAGAGTGTGGCTCCTGCAGGCTCTCCTTGGGCTCTGGCTCTCGGCGGGCACCCACCGTCTGTGCCACTAGTTGGAACATGGACTTGTCCAGGCTCAGCCAGTCGGACGGTAGCCTAGGGGAGAGCAGCCGGGGCTCCGGCTCTGTCTGTGCTCTGGCTTAGATAGGCTCCCCAAATCCCCGTCTACACCATGGGCTGCCTCTCACCTGTTTGTGGGCCGGGTCTCCCGCTGAGCCTTTCGGGAGCCAAAGAGGTGTCCCCACTTGATGCCCCCGGGTGAAGGCTCTGAGGCTCCTTCCTCATTTTCTGCTGGGGGGGCGGTGGACCCCTCCCTCTCCCGGCTGCGCCTCAGCTCAGCCAGTACAGAATCAGGGGGGCTCCCCATCCAGAAGGGCCAGCCCCTGTCCCGGCCGAGGGTCTCCTCAGGGGCAGGACAGGCCTCTGCCCCCTCGACTACTCCCTCTCGGGGGGGTGGTCCCCCGCCTCCTGCCCCTTTCTTTTTCTCACTGCTGCTATTGCTGCCACCACGGGGGAACCTAGAGCCCTCAGTTGAGCCGTCGATGTAGACCTGGGAGCTCTGCATGAGCTGGTACCACCAGCCAGCCTGCCCGCCTCGGGCCCACCTGCCACGTCCTGAGCCCCCCGCTGCCTCTGCCACCTCTTCTGTCTCCTCTTCCTCCGCGTCTTCTCCGCCTTCGGGGGCGCCCACACCCTTCACCCGCTCCCCCTGGACCGCCCCGTCCATGTCTCCGGGCCCCTCCCGGCCCCTGGCCCGGGCCAGCTGCAGCGTCGAGTGGGCGGACAGCAGCAGGTCCTGGGACACCCGCAGCAGCTCCTTGTGCTGCCGCTGCTGCTGCCCGCTTTGCAGGAGCCGGTGCTGGAAGAGCAAGTCGAGGCTGAAGGGCAGCAGGGCCAGGGGCTGCAGCAGCAGCAGCAGCTCCTCGAAGAGGCCGGGGCACACGCTATGCGCTGCGCTCAGGAAGCCCCACGGCTGGTAGTGGGTCTGGGTGATATCTGGGGGAGCAAGAGGGAGGGCCTGAGCCCCACAGAGAAGCAGGGCCTGGCCTGGGGGCGGGGCCCTCCGAGAAGCGGCCCGGCAGAGCCGCTGCGCGCACCGCATGGGCTGGGCACTGTGCCCTTGGGCGCACGCCAGGGCCAAAGAGGCCGCCGGAGGCTTGTGCCGGTCGTGACCTCCGCGGCCGTAAGTGGCGGCCGCAAGCTCACAGGAGAGCTGTGGGGGTTCCTGGTCACCCTCGCCTCCAGACTGCCCGGGTATCCTGCTGACTCCAAGGCTCTAACACAAGTAGAAGCTGGGGACAGACTGGGCTGGAAGCCCAGGCTCTGAAGACGAAAGCTTGGGTGGTCCCCCTCCCCACCTCTACCATCTGTAAAGAGCCGTGCCTCCCTCTTCTGAGCCTCTGAGGTCTGGCCTATATTGAGTTTGCAAGAGAGAGCAGTGTTCCGGGCATTACCTTCGTGGTTATAGAGGTGATTAAACCAGAACTCCAGGGACCGGATGCTGTAGGGAAACAGAGAAAGTTGAATCTTGTGTGGAGATAGCCAGATGATAAGGTACAAAGGAGACAGACAGGGGGTCAGACATAGGGCAGAGGTATAGGTGAACATCTCCCTTCTATGGCAGGAATGCTACCTGGTTCATTTCACGTAAAATAGTTCTGGAAAGTCAGTGGGGGATGATGGGAGGGGGTTAACATGTAATTCACAAGCCAGTGACTTCCCTCTAGAATGGAGTTGGCTTGCCTGGGCCCCCAAGTCATGGCAGCTACTGAGTGAGAGTACAGGGTACACATCCCAAAGGGGATGACCCAGGCCCATACTTGAGAAAGAAGGACACTATGATGTGGATCTCAAGGGGGACTTATGGTCAGGCAGGATTTGGAAGTAGTGCTGGAATTGAGGGGATCAAGGTTTACAATATCCAGAGAACCAGATTAATTTCCAAATAGGCCAGATTATGGATTTATAAAAGCCAAAGACCGTGCTGGTGATCAGTGCCAGAGGGTTGTGGGTGTGGTGGGAAACCAGAGACCTACTGAGAGACGCTGTAGCTAGATGGGGAGAAAGTGAGCCTGGGCCCTGGCCATAGAGCCTGCAGATCCCCCTTGGCCTGTCTCAGTCTAGGGAGTTGGTTCCACAGAAGTGGCAGAGCCCAGGGGAGAGGGCTGTGATTTGCCGCTCTTGTTGCCCCACACACTCACTTGAGCAAGCCGAGGATGAAGGCGTTGAAACGCATGGTGTGACTGGTGAGCTCCGGGAATTGGCTGACCTTGTTGTAGAGGCCGTGCAGGACCTTGGTGGACGGGCCTGAGAGGAAGCCAGAGTCAGCAGTCACGTGCCCAGTCTCCCGAATCCGAATCCCAGCCTGGGGTCCTCATCTTGTCGCCCAGCACTTACCTAGCTGTGTAGAAGCCTCAACCACACTCCACGGCATGTTCTTACGTTGCCCAATGATGACATCTAGCACGAAGGCCTTGAGCCCATCCTCCAGCACAGCCTGGACTGCAGGGCACAAGTACTTCAGAACCAGGTGGCCCACATTGGGGCTCACAGAACTATTCCCGAGCTTTGCCTGTGGATGCAGTAGAGAAGAACAGGGAATCACTGGAAGCCCGACCTTGGTCTTCTCTGACTCTCTTAGGCCTCAGCATGCTTCTCTTGTGATCCCCATCCCGAAGTACCCAATTCTGGGTTCTAGGTGCAAGAGAGCAGGAGAAGGTGGCAGCATAGAATGGGTGAGGGTCAGCAGGGTAGAGTTCAGCTCGCCCCAGTTTTTTGCCTACCTTCACCCCAGGATCCCGGCTTGTGCCAAAATGGGCCACAATGAGGTCCACGGCAGTGTTAACCGCCTTCACCAGCCCTGCAAGTAAGAATTCCATGTGATGGGTTCCTTAGCAAGTCCCTGGGCAACTCAGCTGAAACTGAGCCCTCAGTGGAGAGAGGGAGGGGCGTCCACTCTCTCTCTCTGTCCCTGCACATGGGTGTCAGTCTTACTCAGGACCAGGCCCTGACCCCTCCCTGTTTTTGCCCAGTCCTCAAGCCCTGTTGTCACCGCCAGTGGACGCATCTCAGCGATTTTATCTTCAAGACCCTCTTACTCCAGTCCTGGATCGAGCTAACTATCCATCTTCTCTGCTCTGAGAAACCAGGCTACTGGCTGCTGGACAAAGTCCAGGGCCACTCACAACAGTGACCGACAAGGGCACCTCTTTGACGTGTGCCTTGCAGTGTCCTCTGCTATGCTCTCACATTGCCAAATCTTTACCCCTCTTCTCAAGCCCTTGGTTCGACCTCGAACCGAGGCCACTGGTCATCAATTCAACTTCCCTGTCCATCCAAAAGACATAACTACATTCTGTCTACCCTCATTCCCGCCTCCCTCACTCTCTTTCCATCTTGCTCAAGGTTCTTCCCTTTTCCCAGCTTTGAACCCCCCCACTCTGCCTCTACAGGGAACTTCAGCTTCATCTTTCTCCCTCCCCACAGCTCCTTCCCTTCAGCCCACAATGATGCTCAACTCTTTCCCCATCATCTCACTGAAACAGCTCTCTCTTGGTCCAGTGGTCCCTTATTTGCTCAACATCTTAGTAGATGTTACCATCATGCTTACCCAAGCTGTTAGGCCCTGTTGTACTTGGGACTCCCCCCATTAGAGCATGCGGCCATTTATTTATGGCATGGCAGTCTCCCTCACTCTACTTAGCTCCCTGAGGTAAGAGACCAAAGCCTGATTCTTAAGCATCTGATAAATGATCCTTGTGCATTCAGGCACACTTGTCCTACACGATGCACGGACTGCTACCTCGTGCCCCAATTCCTGTGCTGATTCCTTCCTAGCACTTGGAGTTCTAGGAGGGCTAGACAGTAGGGCAACAGGCACAAATAGGTACGGGCAACAGGCACAAATAGGTACCGACAACAGAATTCCTGGCCTGAGCTGGGGGTAACATTCACCTTTTTTCTGAAGCAGGTCAATGGAAATGGCCTCTGAGTTGCCATCTGGGGACAGACAAAACTCAGCTGGAGGCTTCTCAGTCAAGGAAAAGGGGTCTTGGAAGTCAGGGCAGGTCAGTGGTAATGGCTTCACTATTTGACCTGGAAAGAAGAGAAAAATCAATCTCAAGCAACTCTCCTTCCAAGAGCTGCAGCTCAGTTCTGTGCCTCATACCCTCTGGGACTCGTTCCTGTGGGCCTGCCCCTTCTCCAGCCCTGCCCAGCTGCGGTAGAGCCTGCCCTGGGTCCA